GGCTAGTGACTGCAGGATTGGACAGTGCAGATTACAGAAAATTTTCATTATCAGAAAACCTTCTTTTATATGACGCTCTCCTAAACTTAGAGAACTGCATAAAGAAAACATATATACACAGTGGAATATCACTCAGCCATAAAGAAGAATGACTTTACGGCATTTGCCATAAATGGATGAATCTGGAGATTATCATGTTAAATGAAATAAGCCAATCCCCAAAAACTAACGAATGTTTTCTCTGATATGTGGAAGCTAACTTACAACAAGGGAGAGCGTTAGAAATTAACTGAATTTGACAAAGGGGAATGAAGGGAAGGTAGAGGATGGGAAAAGGAAAGACAATGAAATGAATCTGACATACTTTCCTTTGTACATATATGAATACACCACAGTGAATCTTACCATGTGCACACCCATAAGAAATTAATTTTTATAATATATGTAAATGGCAGAAAGAAGGAACCCCAGGGGTGGGGAGAGGGAAAGGGAAGAAGAGGTACTGGGATCTGAATTAGAACGAGATATATTTCATGCTTGTATAATGATGTCAAAATGGATTCTACTGCCAATAAAAAAAAAAAAAAAAAAAAAAAAGAAGATGATTCTGGAGCCACATTGAAGGCAGCCCTGAATTGCAGAAGGAAGGCAGAGCTGGTATGAGGGCTGGTGTATGTGGTAGTATCTTCTAGACAGACCACAGGGCTAAGAATAGAGTAGAGAGGTGGATTGTTAAACACTTACTACAGAAAGAAGGGGGTTTGTATTGATTTTTTTTTAAGCATAAATACTATATATAGAGAGAAAGAGGTAAGAATCCTGTAAAGTTTTCTCATTCCTAAGTAGAGGTCACTGCTATAGTTTAGATGTGGTGTCCCCGAAAAGCTCACATGTGAGACAATGCACAAGAAGGTTTGGAGGAGAAATCATTGGCTCTCGCCTTAATCTAATCAGTGAATTAATCCCTGGTGGGATTAACTGAGTGGTAACTGAAATGGTGAGGTGTGGCTTTGGGGTATATATTTGTATCTGGCAAGTGGAAACGTCTCTCTGCTTCCTCATGGTTATGTGAGCTGCTTCCCTCTGCCATGCTCCTCTGCCTTGTCTCTCCTTGAGCCCGGAGGAATGGAGCTTGCTGTCCATGGATTGAAACGTCTGAAACTGTGAGCTCTTAAATAAACTCTTCCTTTCCTACGATTGTGTTCTTTGGGTCCTTTAGTCACAGCAGCAAAAAAAGCTGACTTGAAACAGTCACTTTTGCTGTTTCTTAAACTAATAGTAGTGTTTTTTACTTTTTTGTAAAAAGAAATTACAACAGCTGCCAGCTTTTGTGTGTGCGTGTGTGTGGTACTGGGGATTGAACCCAGGAATGCTGCGCTGAGCTACATCCCCAGCACTTTTTATTTTTTGAGACAGGATCTAGCTAATTTGCCCCAGGCTAGTCTTGAATTTACAATCTTACTGTCTCAGCCTTCTGAGTCACAAGATAGCTGCCAGTTCTTGGATTATCCATGAAATAAGGAATGGTTGTTACATGAATAAAAAAATCCAGTAACCCAAAATTTGTTACATGTTCATGCCACTTTTCACCTGCTAAGGAACAAAATTAGTTGATGAGGATGATTTTTTCTTTTATTTCTTTTAATGTCCTGTGATGAAGGGGAAAAGTTGACAACTGAATTTGAGGGAAAGAAGGAAAAGTTGGTATTACTGATCCTTGTATAATCACTGCTTCTGGATTTTGAGGTCTATATCAGAGGGTTTTTTAAAAAAAATCTCTAATAATTTAGGACAAATAGGATTATACTAGGATTGTTGGCCTACAGCCAACAACTTGTACTCGTTCTAGAACTATTATGTGACTTTGAGTCAATTACTTACCATAACCTCTCTGAGCCTTAGTTTCTTCTCTGTGAAATGGGGTGTAATGGTATCTACCTCCATGAGTAACAGGGTAAGTGGATTATAAAATCCAGAGTGCCTGATCACTACTGTAGGGCCCTAAATGTTGAACTGTATCATTTGGGAAAGTACATCCCGTGTACTCAGAGTCAGACACTCTCTGTTCTGATCTTGGCCTTCCCACTTAGTGGGTGTGTGACTTTGGTCTAGCTGTTCAGCCTTTCTAGACTTTCATTTCCTCCTTGGTAAAATGGAGTAATAGTAAACCTTTTTCAGAGGCATTGCTTAGGATTAAATGAGATAACACACATCAAGATAATGTGAGGACGTCTACTACATGGCATACAGTGAGTGTCTGACAAGTGTTAACTGTGAGGAAATAAAGAATGATGTTTAAATTAGGGGTTGCCCTGCTAAAAGATAGGAGATGACCAAATCTGTTCTCGCCTATCCATTTTGTTCACTAGACAATAGCATTCATACTAAAGTGTGCACATTCTGTTCTGTTGATATTCCACTATAAGTCATTATTAAGCCTCCTTTGTTAAGTGTTTGGCACAGCTGTTAGTTATCATAAAGACCTTTCTCACTTGATAGTTTTTCTCCAAACAGCAAGATCACATCTAATTTAAAAGGCCTGGTGTGTGAGTTCAGAGGGCAGGCAAGTGAGAGGGGTCAGTCCCACAGGGGGCCTTTTCATTGTCTAAGGGCCTGACCTCTGTTGCCTCCAGGGTCCAGGAAGAAAGATGATATACTTCAAAGGAAAACTGGGGACCAGGGAAGAGGTACTACTGTGATTTGTGACTATCTTCTTGTCCTTTAATCACCCTGTGCCTTGCTTCTGCACCTGATACCTGCAGAAAGCAGGTCAGAATGCCAAGGGATTGGCTAAGGAGGCTTCTTCTAAAGCCTGGTCTACTCTGGAGGGTGCAGCAGCCAGAGGGTCCCACACCCAGCCTCCACAGATGCTCCTGACCTATGGAGAACAGCTTTCTGTCCAAGAAAATTATTTTGAGTTTTTTTGGTGTGAAGACATAGTCCTGGATTTCTTTCACTTACCAACTTCTCTAACTAGGAAGGAAGCACTGTGCTGTTACTAAAAATGACTTTTTTTCCTTCAGAATTTTCAGGTCATTAACAAAATCTAGAATTCTTTTCATTTGTAAATGTCAAAATTATTACTTAGGACATTTTATAGGAGTACATTTTGCTTGGAATTTAAATCTAGATCATTCTTCTCTGAGTTTCTGTCAAAACCCTTGCAGCATCCTCCACTAATCTGACTTTGAAATGCTTTTCACAACCAACCTTTCTTCTCTGATTCCACTACCACTGCCCAGGTTTTAAGCTTATCTCCTCACATATGAATTTGTCATAATAACTAAAAAGAATGTTCTCGGGCTGGGGCTGTGCCTCAGTGGGAGAGCACTTGCCTAGCATGTGTGAGACACTGGGTTTGATTCCCAGCACCACCTTAAAAATAAGTAAGAATGTTCTGGATTATAAAAGCAATAAATGCCCACTATAGAAAATTTGGATAATATAGGTAAATTATAAGAAAGAAAATAAGTTACTAATAAGAGATAAATGCTGTATATTCTGAATTTTTATTTCCAGTCTTTTTTTTTTAATTTTTTATTGTTGGTTGTTCAAAACATTACATAGTTCTTGATATATCATATTTCACACTTTGATTCAAGTGGGTTATGAACTCCCATTTTTACCCCATATACAGATTGCAGAATCACATCAGTTACACATCCATTGATTTACATATTGCCATACTAGTGTCTGTTGTGTTCTGCTGCCTTTCCTATCCTCTACTATCCCCCCTCCCCTCCCCTCCCCTCTTGTGTGTGTGTTTATGGTTAAGGAAGTTTGCACCTATGGTATACAGTTTTGTGTTGTGGTTTTTAACTATCACAATTTTTTTTGAGTTATCAGCATGTTCCTGTATAATTATTTTTCAAAAACTGTTAATGAATAAATAATACCCTTTTACATGGAAAGAGAAAACCTATTTGACAATATTGTTGGCTATTTAGATCTCCTTTTCAACATTAAAAGCTTTGCCATATCTGTTCACTGTGGTGAGTAAGAACACAGGCCTGGAGCTCCAAAGACCATGCTCAAATTCTGCTCCTCACACCCATTCCCAGGCCTCATGCAATCCTAAACCTCAGTTTTCTTCTGTGTAAAATGAGGGTTATAATAGTACTTTTTACCACACTTGAGTTGATTTATGAGATATGTGTGATGTACTCATTTACGCAGAAGTTGACTCATAGTAAATTCTAATATTGATTGCTTTTGTAACACTCACTGTCATTAATCATCAGCATTTTTTTTCTTATAACTCCTAAGAGCTAGATTATGGCATCCAAGTATACACGTATTGTACTTTAGTAATATATTGCAAAATTGATTCCTAGAAAAATTCTATCAATTTATAATTACACAATACCTGATTTCACCCTTTGTCATTGTTGTATATGTCTTTTTTATTACTGTTTAGCAATGTGACACACAAAAATTGTACTTTTAACTTACTGTATCTTTCTAATTTGCATTTCTTTTGTATGATTTACATTTAGCAATGCAAATTAGTTTAAAAATGTTTAATTGGCCAATCACTTATGCAAATTATGTTTTCACAAATTATTTATGGAAGTCAATGCCCATTTTTATTGACACTTCATTTTTTTATAAATCACTGAGTTCTTTGTTTATTATGATAATAATCATTATTTATAAATAAAGTCTATTAAGCATTTACAACTTTCAGATGAGGAAACAAGGGCCAGAGTAAATAAATGCCCAGTCATCCTTGTTGTTTTTATTACTTGGCTTAGTTTTTTGCAGCACCTAGCTCAGACCAGTGTCTTGCACATAGTAGGAGCAGAATAAGCCCACGTGCACTTACAAGGGCAGTCGCCATCCTTGCCTTTGTTCTTTGTGCACAGAAGCCATCCTCTCCTGTGTGCCTTTGTCACAGCCACAGCTTCAGCTCAGATGAGTCAGCATCTCTTAGACTTGATTGTTCTGATGTATTTTTTATGACACTTTTAATCAGGTTATTTCCTTCACTTCATTTCTAGGTAACAAACCTGAATTTGGCAAGTGGTGTCATAAACAGAAGCAGTGCTTCAACTCCCCCCAGCCTCCGACCTGTCCTCAGTCCTACTGGTCCAACATGGTCCATACAGTCAGACCCCCACGCTACAGAGAACCGCTCCAGCCCCCCTGGAAGCAGGTACGTGAAGGACCCTGGAGATAGCGTTGAGTTGCATGGGAGGGGCTGTGTCCCAGGCAATCAGGCCCTTCCCACTCTGAGCTCTAGTAAGGTGGATGCTCATTTTATTTGTAAGACAACTTTCAAGAAAATCAAATGGAAAGGAAATTTCTGATGTAGTTAAGAAAATCACTTCTGGATGGATGCTATAGTTAATCCTTACTTCCAGTCAACATTTTCATGTTCTGAATTTTGGCATTTTATCCTTGCCTCCTGGAATCTCCTGTTTGTTTTTGTGATACTGGGGATTGAACACAGAGACTCTCTGTCACTGAGCCACATCTCCATTGTGTTTCAGTGACTTTGAACTCTTTTTTTTTTTCCTTTGGAGGACATATTTGTTTTTTATGTTTTCATATAGGTTATATAATTAAACTCAAAACAGGTTCTTGATCCCATTTGGGAGGTGGGAAGGAAATAGTCTGTTATGTAGAGAGAAGTAGCAATTTGTAAAATACAAATAGATTCTGGCCATAAGGCAAACAACTTATGAATTAAAAAAAAAATCACTGTATTAAATTCTGGTCTCATTCTATATTTTAAGTATTCCTGTATAAAAAAAATCTAAGAAGTGAGTTCTCACTGCATCTTCCTTTAGTAGATTAAATTGCATCAGTCCCTGAGTCTAATGAGCTGGAGAGAAATGTGACCAGTGATGTCTCTGGCCATGGAGATTTTGTTCCCTCCAAATAAAAAAGCTCTACCCCAGGTGTCCCAGTGAGTCCTCACCCTGTGCCGGCCTCTCTCTCTTCTTTGCTGCTTTGCCCTGAGCTTAGGAGGGGGGACCAAAGACCTGGGTGTGGAGGAAATACTTGATTATTATTCAAATATCACTTGGTATCAGAATTAACTTCTTAAGGAGCTGATTTGGGACCAGAAACTCTGCCTGGGAAGCAGCATAAACAAAAGCACATCGCATCTCACCCTGGGACGATGGCTCTCAGAGCCACCGTCATTGTGGTCGATGTGCAAAGAGTTATCTCAGTTGAGAATTTTCATGCAGAGTTGGAGACCAAGGGGCACAACTGTTTGAGATGGGACTTCCTCTATACAGTTCTTTTCACAAGAGAAGTCTTATTTGGTGATTTATAATCTTCTGAGTAACCACATTCCTTGAAATACAAGTTATAAAAAAGTTCTGTTTATTCCATAGAGCTTTATTTTCTATATAAATGTTTCCAAATATTCCATTTTCATGTGAAACTCAGAGCCTGTTCCTATGGAGAACACTTTCATTACAATCTTGAATATTCTGTTTGACAAGGCTATAAGGCATTTTCCATACTGTAAACAGAACGTCAAAAGTCCACATTTTGGAGAAGAAGAGTTTTAGCACTTTTTATACTTGTAGATAGAATGAGGGGATAACAAAAATTATGGCTGGGTGGAGAGCTTTCTTGGAAGCACCTGCTATTGGTGAGATGCAGTATGGTGGGATCTGTGGACCTACAGGGATCTACAGCAGCACCAGGAGTGACTTTCTCCCAGCCAAAGTGCTCCCTGGGCTGCTGCGGTGGAGTGGCGCACTATCCGGTTTACATCAGAGCCCTTGCAGCTAGAACGCAACCCCAAGAAATCCCTCGGTGCTTCCTTTTTGCCTTAGTTGTACCCACAACAGCCCTCTCTTTGCCTCCAGCCAGTGGTGAGGTCCCAGTGGGTCCCCCATAGCCCTGGGGAATCTTCCACTGCCCCCAGGTGACCTCTGCTTGCCAGGACAGCTGGAGGCTCAGCTTGGGAGTTTTAGTCCAGCAGCCCCAAGAGAGTCCTTAGTCCTTCCAGAGCTGGAGGGGCTGCGGGCCCTGGCCAGGGCACCAACACAGGGCTCCTTCTGATTTCCATTCCTACCTGGTAAGTCCCTCTTTTGTGGATATTTATTTAGTCTCTTATTGTTTTTCCTTTGTAGTGAGGGTGACTAAGTTTGGTGAATATGGGACTCACAGCTTAGAGATGTGAGTTTTATTACTGGTTTTGACACTAAGTGACCCTAAGCTATTCATTGAATCTTTTTATTGGGTAGGCATACTTACATGTAAACTGGCCTATTTTGAGAGCTTTTAGATCGCCCTTAAAGCACTTTGATCTCCCTGAAGTGGGGGCTAGGTAAATAAAAGGTACTCTTACTAGTTTTTCTACAAATGCAGCAGTGAATTCCAGTGCTGATAAACTCTGCTAACTCACTCAACTCGAGGCTGCCTGTGAAGTGTAATGGGAAGTAGCGAGAAGCCCGCTGCTGGCTGTACTTTTCATCTCTCCGTCTCGGAGAATTCAGTGACTTGGTAGCCACAGGAATGAAAACTGGTGACTCACGAGAACTCTGCAAATAGTGTTATTTTTCATTTCCCCATGGTGTTGCCATTGTTCTCAATTTTATGGATCACACAAGTTTTCACCAGACAAACCTTGTTCTTCCCCCGCTGTTGGAAACCACCCCAAATGTAGCCTCAGGGCTGTCGTCTCCCATTGGGTCAGTGTGAGCTCAACCCAGCTCCTCAAATCCCCTGGTTCCTTTGGTCTGTCTGGAGTCCCTGTTCAGGCTTTGTTGTGGGAGAGGAAGGCAAAGAGCCCACAACTTGCCCAGACAGTCTGAGGCCTGGCCACGCAGCCTGCAGTTCCCTAGACACTCGGGAGTTGGACTTGGCCAGCCATTCCTCTGTTGTTACTTTCAGAGGTAATAAGTGAGATTAATTGCAGGCCATTCTCCAGAAGAGAGAGGAGTTAGGGCCAAATGCAGTCACATGCTTAGAAGCCTGAGGTGTGCCTCCAAGCAAGGCCAGCTTAGAATTATACAGCAGGGACTCCAGGATGCAGGTACCACACGTTTATGACCTCTTTTTTCTTTAAGCCATGTTTCCGGTCTCTGGATTCTGATACCTGGGTATTTCAGCTTTTCTTTAGCCAATGAGAAAAGTTGGATTCTTCGAGCTGCCTTTTAATTATCCGTTTTCTGGGCACATGGGGAGTCATTAGGAGCTGAGAACTGATGTTTGCGGCATCCCCTCATTCCTGCCAGCCTCCCATGGAATGGGGCCGCGCCAGGGAGGAGAGTTTTCTAGGTGAGGAGCCCTCCGTGGGTTCAGAGTGCATTTTTCTTTGTGAGACCTGGAAGGGTTACTGTGAAGTCTTGGCTGCTGCTTGGAATGATTTGGGAAGGACAGGGCCTCAGACAGCTTGGCAGGAACCTGAGGCCCTGTTTTTTCCAGCCCAGCCCTTCCTTGTGGATGGAGCTGTCAGGGAATCCCACGAACGTCTGGCTTCGGCCCCTTTGTATGTTCTTCAGCATTTGTCACTGGGTTATTTTTATCCATCTCTGGCTTTTTCACACACGCATCCTGGGGATTTGTCTGTTCCTCGATATTAAAGGTGGGGGAAGTTGACAAAAGAGGGCAGCCACAAGTTGGTTCCTGCTTTTTGTGATAGGGCAGGGCTCTGTGGGCATGGCTGCTGGCCTGGCCAGCTCCCACTCTCCAGTGAACATCTGTGTGTCAGAATTTTGAATTCTATGGAAGAATGGGAAATCTTAGAGATTTGGGGCCCTTTTTGATGTTACCCTGTCCTTCTACTCTTTAGTAGTTGATCAAAGAGTTTGCTGTCCTGCCATACATAATTTTTAGGAAGATATTTTTCAGAGCTTCTGATTCCAGTTGAGCTAATACTCTTCTCCCTTCCTTTAGATTATTTCTTACAAATGTTGCTGGAGATTCAAGTCTCTGACTTCTCAGAGTCAGTTCTCAAAAACAACGGGTTTGTTAATTTCTTTCTTTTTTTTTTGTAGTTGTAGATGGACAGAATGCCTCTATTTTATTTGTATATGGTGCTAAGGATCAAACCCATTGCCTCACGTATATTAGGCAAGTGCTCTGTCCCTGAGCTACAGCCCCAGCCTGTAATTTCTTTTAAAAATATGCCCTATGGGGCTGAGGTTGTGGCTCAGTGGTAGCGTGCTCACCTAGCATGCGTAAGACACTGGATTCGATCCTCAGCACCACATAAAAATAAAGACAATAAAGTCCATCAACAACTTAAAAAAAAAATGTGTCCTATGCATTTTCTGTATGTCAGGCATTGTTTGCTGCTGGGGAATAGCAATAAATAGAGCATTTCCTGATCTCACAGAATTTCCATGTTCTCAATGCAAGGTTGGGTGCTAGGTAGGATCCATGGTACACATGAAGCAATTAGAGAACAGTATCTGGCAGCAGGTAACAAAGATCTCAATTTCATTGTACAATTAGAAGAAAGATTGTCAGGAAGAGCATGTAGGAATTCAGTCCTGCCCCGTGATGGGCTACAATTGGGTTGTACACGAAGTGAAATGAGCCATTCACAAGAGGACAAATAACATATGAGTCTGCTCATGTGAGGTACCTAAAGTGGTCAAGAGCACAGAAACAACACAGGAAGGTGGTTGCCAAGGACTAGGGGGAGTGAGGAGGGGGACTTCTTGTTTAATGAGTATAGGGTTTCAGTTTTGCACAACGAAAATGTTCTAGAGACCTGTCGTAGAACAATATAAATGTACTTAACACTCCTGGACTATACACATAAAAATGATTAGGTAGTAAATATAAATTATGTGCTTTTTACTACAGAAAAAGAAGGTAAACAATGAAGAATTTCCAAGACAGCCCCCACAGTTCTGCAAAAATTGTACAGTGACTTAAACGACAAGGTCCGATCTTTCCCTATGTGTGAGGGCATTATTCTGGAACCAGTCCTGCAGTGTTTCTCTTTCTTTAAAAACATGCCACCAACTTGAACCAATTCCATATAACTGAAATTAAAAAATAAAAAACATAAAAGCAAGTGACCAGTGACACTTGCTGGGATGTAGTGAGGTGGAGAGGGAAAGGACTTCATTAAGTCAGACAGACCTGGGTTTGTGATATTGTGTATGTGACCTTGGGTATGTTACTTGGCATCTCAGAGCCACAATTTCCCCATCTTTTTAAAAATGTGCATAA